TATTATTTCTAGGCATATGGTACTCAACTCAGACCCCCTGAATTACTCCTATTCTTCCAAACCTGATCCATCAACAAATATTTGTTGAGCTTCCAACTATGTGCAAAGTACTATCCTAGGCACTGAGGTCACTCACTCAACTGGATATCCATGTAACATCTTGCCACACATTAGCTGGCCTGGATTTCCTCCACACCCACATCATCACAATCTGAGGCTTCCAAAAATACTATTTGGGACACCAGGGCCCTTCTCTGAATTACCTTGTGTTTTCTACATCCTCTCTTCTCAGACCAGCAACAGCATGATCCAAACTCCATTATCCTGTATACCCCAGGGTTCTTACTGCACACACAGGGAAGAATTTTTAGATGCAGAGAAACACCACTTGGAGAGTTCTCATTAGCTGGAACCCTTTAGAGATCTGTCTCTGAGTCTAACAGGAAAGGCAAAGAGTGAGAAACTCTGATGTTGTCAGGAAGCAAAGCGAGGCAAGGAAAAGGCAGAGGTTTCACTCATTTGCTCCACAACCGGCTCAGAACAGAGTTCCAACAATGTTAGTGGAAATGCTTCAACACGCCCACGTCCCAAGGTCAAAGACACCACAGTCAGGCCATTTTTCCGAGTTCAAACTTCACTCGCTATGCATTCAGAGTCCAGCTTGTAGACAGGAGTACATATAACACACACGCACACACATATATTTATATATACACATAGACACGTATGTTGCATATGAAGATGCCAACATAATCCTACACAAGCACATACATATGACTGAAGCTACCTTCCTGGTCAGAAGTGGCGAGCCTCCTAGAAGAAAGGAAACCCCACCTCTCCCTGCATACACCCCTTTTTCTGGCTAAAGCCTCAAGTTCCTTCTGTACTTCCTAGTTTCCCATGTCAGCAAAAAAAGGACCAGAGCAGAACAAAAAATCCAGGACTCCCAGGAGTCATGTGAAAGTACTCGTCCCACACTGACATTTAAAGCTTATTTGGGGTGGGGGATGGGAATAGGGATAATGAAATAACCCTGTTAAAACAAAGAAAATCTAAACCCAGAGTTCAGAGAGGGCTCTTTCCATTTATTTGTGGCAGAGAATAAGGCTGCAGAGCTGTCAGGGATATTAAAGAGACCATCTGGTCCCACCCTCTACTCTCAGGCTGGTAAGACATTATTATTCCCATTTCACAGGCCAAATGACTGAGCTCACAGACTTTAAAAGTCTGACCTGCCCAGAGTGACATGGATAGTAAGAGGATGAGAACACAAGTCTCCTATCACCTAAGGCAGAGTCAAGAGTGTACCACATTGTTATTTCACCTATACTGAGGCTCTACCCATGCACTGGATGATTCTGGTCAAGGGTGGGTAGCATATTAAGGATGTGTAGGGCCCTGCAAAGTGCCTTCAGGGAGCTTCTTAACCCAGGGAAGACCGATGCATTTTTCTGCGCTTTTCTAATTATTTATTCCAGCCATTGATAAGTGTTCAAAGAAAGCCTTTCCCACCCCTCCACTGCAGCCCTGCTGGCCCTCTGAATGCTGAATCCTCCAAAGCTCTGAGAGGGTGTGGGGTGGTGGGAGATATTAGTACCTACATCATCTCACAGAATCGCAGCATCTCAGAGTTGGAAAGGAAATTAGAAGTCACCTAGACCCCCATTACAAAACATCTTTCCCCAGAGTATTCCTGTCAGCTGGTCATTCGAACTTTACTTAAGTACCTCCAACGACACGGCGCTCATTGCTTCAGGAAGCTGCCTGCCTCCCCGTTGGACAGCTCTGGTTATTCAGAAGCTCTTTACTACACAGAGCTGAAATCTGTCTCCCTACTATCAGTCCTACCTCTGCTCTTGGGCACTACACAGAAAGAGTTCAATACCTCTTCCACATGAGAATCATGGGAATTACAGATCACAGGTTCATGGTCTTTGAGTTGCAAGGGACCTTGGGTCATCTAGTCCAATACACCCATTTTACAGATAAGGGCACGAATCAGGATTTGAATCCAGTCCTTTGATTCCAAATCCAGCAATCTTCCCACTGTACCATATTACCATCAGATGTTTGAAGGCTATGACCATGTTGTGTTTCCCCCACCACCACCACCACCCCGCCAATTCTTCTGTCCAAGCTAAAGTAATCAACTCTCTTAGCTATTTCTCACATGTAAGGATTTTGAGTCTCTTCACTGTCCTGGGCATCCTCCTCTGAAGTACTCTAGCTGGTCAATGTCTTTCCTAAAATGACACTGCCCAGAACTGAACCAAATACCCTTGATATGATATTAGCCAAGAAGAATCCAGTAAGGCTGTCCCCACCCTCATTCTAGACCCCAATTCTGCCAGTAAGCAGCCTGAGGTCACATTAGCCTTTTTGACATCCAAGCTATCCTTCCCATTATCCCATGATTAATCACTCATTAAGCACCTATTATATGCTAGGTATCATACTAAATCCTAGGGATACCAAAAGAGGCAAAAGACAGTCCCTGCCCTCAATGAGTTTACAATCTAATAATCTTATGCTCATATGTAGTGGGAAGAGCCTTGGAGCACAAGTTGAGATGCCTGAGTGTTAGTCCCAGTTTCTGCCAGCTATGTGACCAAGTGACTGTGGAACCAGCTTCTCAGTCCTAGCCTCTAGGCCCCCCTTTTATAAAACAAGGGGGTCAGACTAGATGATTGTAAAGATCTTTTCCATTTCTGAGCTCCTATGGCTCTGTTTCTATAACCCCATTTGTTTTTCACATGGATTTTCTGTGATGCCTGTTCTTCCCAAAATGGAGGGAGAGAATAGCAGTCAAAGGGGTAACAGCTGGGTGGTGCAATGGATAAAGCACTGGGCTTGGAGTCAAGAGTAGCCAAGTTCAAATTCAGCTTTAGAGTTTAAAGCTGTTGTGACCATTTTAACCTCTGTAACCACTTTAACCTCTGTAAACCTCAGTTTTTCCATTCTTTAAAATGGGTTGTTGTAAGAACCAAATGAGATAACATAGTAAAGTCCTTTGCAAACCTTAAAGTTCTTTATTACTGATTGATATAAATAATAATAATAACAGCAATTATCAATTTAAATAAGAATTATTTATATAAATGACAGTTATTAATATAAATAATAATGGTGAAGATTATTAATATAAATGATGATGGCTATTATCATTATTATTATTCCTACCAGGATACCTCTGGACACACATGAGCACTGTTCTCAAAAGTCGGGTCCAAGGACTGTGGGACTCAAACAACCTCTGCCCTCCCATTCCACTCTATAAAGGAGGTTCCAAGACAAGACAAAAACTTCTTCATTAGCAACCAGCTGATTCCCTTTCCTCTTTCATTATTCACAGACGCTCCCCACTGCAGGACATGGCAGGGGAAGGATACTGAGTTACATTCAGCCTAACCACACATGGTATGATAGAATGACCACTCAGACTGAGAATCGGGAGACTTGGCTTCAGGTCCAGGCATTGCGACTCTGAGCAAGTCACTTCAATTTACCGATGTGTAAAATAGGAAACAGCTCTGCCTTGCTACCTCACGGGAATACTAGTTCAAATGAGAGAAGGAATGGGAAAGAATTAGATGAAACAGAAAATACTACAAGAATATGAGAGATTGTTAGGATAGTTCTCAATAATGACTCTTCCCTTGTGGGCAGGGACCTGTACTGGTCATATAGACTGAGGAAGAGACAGAATCTTCCCCATCCCTAACCCCAGAGGGCAGTGGAGAGGGACAAATAGCTCCTGGACAGGGCTCTGAAAATGTCAGTGCTCTTGAGGAATTTTCCTCACACAAATTTCCAGGAAAGTCAATCTACTGCCACCAGCCTGAGGGAAAGGGCCTTCCATATCCAACCTGAATCCTGGCCCCCAGCAGTGTGGCCATCGTCAGCTGTGTGCCAAAAGGGGGGATGGACCCCCACCTCCCATCAGTTTCATTGACTCTTGGGTCTCTCTTTTCACCACAGTGACTTTTGCTCCTGAGTCAACATGTACTTTGGCCTAGTTTGTAAAAGCCTCTTAATGGTTCTCCCCTTTCTCCCCGCCTCCTCACTACCATTTCCTGGACATCCATGGGACTGACTTCCCTGCTTCCTCTAGTGACCCTGATCTTGGCCTTGTACAGAATGGGGAGGGGTTCTGACTGTAAAGTCTTGGAGTCTCCCTATCCCCACACCATTCATGTAGGAATTATGGGCTTTCTCCAGAGATCCTTGCTCCCCTGGGACCTCTTAAAGACCTGAAGACTTAGTGTGGGATAGGGACCTGGTAAGCTGGTGACCTGTCAAAACTTGCAGTTGCTCTGACCCTCTGGGTGGCTGAGGGGTTGTGGTGGCCCCCCTGGCAAAAGAGCCACGATGCCTCACTTTCTCTGTCTCCTTGGTAGTTAACTGATCATGGACTGGCTTGTCCCATATCCCTGGCTGGGCCCTGGCTAAGAATGTGGTCCCAGGAGGGGAGGTAACAACAGGGGAGTGGGGAGGAGAAGGAAGGGTCCAAAGAGAACCAGGTACCTACGGACAGGAAGCCATCCATCAAAGAACCTCTGAGCTCGACCCCCAACCCCACCCTGGGGCTGGGAGATGTAGGGTGGAGGGGAGGGAGTAGGGAGAAGAGAGAAGAGTCGCCTGCTCTACTGGTCAGTCTTTGGAAGTGGGATCTCAGCCCAGGCGATGCTGCCTTGGCTTTCCATTAACAGGAGCCGGTTAATTACTCCATCAGCCCGGGAGACATTCTTACAGCACAAGACAACCTTCTGGCCTCTGGCCCAAACCAACAGGGTGAAACTTCAACCCCCACAGCCAAGCACAGAACCAGATGGAGCTAATGTATAGCTTCAGTGAAGGAGGGAGAGAGGGAGGAGGGAGGGAGAAGACCGGCGATGAGGGGAGGGGTGGGGAGAAGAGGAAAGGAACAAAAACAGTAACTTTCAGATGAGAAAGCAGACGCAGGCAAACATCCCCAGGATGACTGGGAAGGAGGGTCTCACCACTTTCATTCTTCTCGATGACATCTACCACCTCACCAGCCTGCAGGCTGAGTTCAGCATTTTCTTGCTTCTTATAGTTGGACACTACCACATACTGCTCCAGGATCATGGGCTCTGAGTTCACATCGGCACCTGGTGAGGGCAGAAAGCATGCGGTGAGCCAGCGTCCGGCCATGGCTCCACGGGGTGGCCGACCTCTGTCCATCCGACTCATGATAGGCTGATCTGTTGCCAGTACCAGACCAATCAGCAGGCAGCTGGGGCTCACAGCATAATCCCAAAGGCCTGGCCATATAGAAATACCCCCCTCTGGCCCGCAGTGCAGCGGGGCCTGGGGACATTGGGGAGCAGGAGTGCAGGGAGAAGGGGTGGAGGGAGAAAGAAAAAGAAGTGGGAAGAGAAGAAAGGGAAAAGGGTGGAAAAGCAAATCCCAAACTTTGCTCCACAGAGAGTTAGCTAATCTCAAAGTTTCCTAAAGGAGACTGAAAATAAGTCTCTTCCGAATGTGAGCTCCACAATCTCCTGGCCTGGCCTCATAGTGTTGAACATGAGATCCAGAGAGGGGTGGGGGGGAGGCATTCGGGTCTGTGGTGGAAAAAGGGAAAAGAAACAAAAAGAAAAGAAAAAGAAAGAAAGAGAAAGAAAGAAAAAAAGAAAGAAAGAAAGAAGGAAGAGTCCCCACCTCCCCCCACCCCTGCAAACTCCAGCAAAAATAAACAGCTCTCCCCTCAGAGACCCAGCTCCTTCTCTTGGAGCTGTCTGAAGCTTAGGCTGGAAGTTAAGAGGGGGCTGTGGACGCCAATCATTTGGGTTTACACTGCAGCCCTTAAATAGAAACACATGAGCCCCATCGAATGAGGAGCTGGGGGTGGAGGAAGGGAGGAAGGGAGGGAGGGAAGGAGGGAAGGAAGGAGGGGTTGGAGGGGTAGGAGTGGAGGGAGGGCTGGGGGACTGTTTACTTGAAACTGAAGAACTAAGTTCCAGAGCCAGAGTCTTACTAACAGCCTGCCTTCCTCCCGCCCTCCCTAACTGAAATTTCCAAAAGTTCGGTTGCATTCTTTCCCCACTGAAACCCAAGGCTGCTTCACTGCCCCATAGTCTACTGCTATTTGTGCAATGACACTCCCCCATCTCCACTCCCACCCAAAGACCCAGCCCCCAGAGCAGAGGTTTCCCAACTGTCGGTCTGCTCCCCCTTCCCTTTCCAACTGCCCCTCTGCCAAAAGAGATTTCAAGCTAGGACTGACCATTGCAAAATGACCCCCCCCCCCCAGCCCCACTCCAGCACACTTGAAGAGTTCTTGGCCACAGCTCCTTCCCTCCTCAGGTCTCCTTTATGGGGGTCTGTTGCAACCTCCAGGATTTCAAGACAGGCTGGCAGTGGGAGGTGGTGGGGCAGGGAAAGGCAAGTCAGAAGGTCCTCACTCACAGCTCAAGGCCCACCCCCCCACCCCCTGCCGTGGGCCTTTCTCTGTCAGAAGGTGGGTCCTACCTCTTTCAAGGAGGGGTCTTTAATCACTCTAATCCACAGAAATACTTCCTCCCTCTTAACATTCATAGAAGTTATTTTATAGTTAGCGTGGCACCTAGCATACCCTGCCTGATACCGTCACTTATTCTTTGTGCACGTCTTCTCTCCCAAATTAGCCTCTAAACCTACCTGAAGTCAGGAACTATTCCTCTCTCAAACAAATATCCTATGCTGACTCTGTGAGATGCAGTGATTTAGAAGGCCCTGCTCTGATCTTCTCCTTCCTTGGATTTATGAAATAGTGAAAAGAGTACTGGCGTGGGTATCAGGAGACCTGGGCCCTAGTCCTGGCCTTGCCACCCACTTGCTTTGTCATGTTAAACATCTCATTTCCTCTCCCTGGGCCTCAGTTTCCTCCTTTGTAAAATAAAAGGGTTGGACAAAACAACCCCTAAGGTCCCTTTCAACTCCAGCAATCTATGACACTATGATTTCAAGTCATGCACCTACTGTGTGTCTGGCCTGATACAATAAATTGGAATCAGTCAAGGGACAAAACCGTCCTTAGGGATACTAGTGATTTCGCTTGTATAGGGAACTCCCTCTACCAAGGCAGACTAGCCTATTCTCTGTACTAGGGTCTTAGAGCACTGTCTAGAGCACTGAGAGAGTTTGGAGAGATGAGACTTTATTTGCATGAAGAGATGTGAACTGGACCTGCCCAGCTGGGAGCACCCTGTTTGGAAGAGGCTCCTTTTGTCTTTGCCCTTCCTAGAGGGGGCATTCCTTCACTTTCCTGAGATCTGGGATCCTGGTAAACTGAATTGCCCCCTCTCCTACACGTATCATTAGCTCTTACAGATGTTCTGGAAGGGAGAGGCCTCAGCAGAGAACTAGACATGCCCAAGCTGCGCTATCAATCACAGCGGACCTCCAGCATCAACATCACCCGTCTTGCCCATTTGGAGCACTGCTTGAACTTTTCTCCAAACTCTTCCCCCAGTGGCCCAGTCACTCTTGCCATTGTTCCCCCACCTTCCCTCCCTCTCTCCCTCCCTATGTGTTGCTTTGTTTTTTCTTTAACAGGCTCGTTTTACTGGCAGGTGTTTGTTCCTTCAGGTAGACCCCAGACCCCTTCTCCAATGGTGAGGCTGAGTCCCTTCCACAAAGGGCTAGAGAGCTATGGCCAAAACCTGCAATGCCAGAGCTACCATAAGCAGTTTTCTTTTGACCAGCAAGATCGCATGGATTGGGAGCCACCCAGAAAGGGAGTGAGGAAGAGAGGGACCTCCAGGAACAGACCACAATACCCCCAGCACACAGCTAAAAAGACCACACAACTGTAGAACTATGGTTCCAGGAAAATCTCTGTGTTGTGTGTGTGTGTGTGTGTGTGTGTGTGTGTGTGTGTGTGTGTGTGTGTGTGTGTGTGTGTGTGTGTGTACAGTGACTGTATTACTGGAACAGTACCCAAGCCAAGTCACTCCAGGGCTGTGATTAAATGTCAAGAAGAAATGTAACCAACAGCTCTGGCAGCTTCCCCCCTCCTCCAAGACAGGGCCTGGAGTCTCCCCTTTCTCCAGTTGGACAGCATTGCTTGAATGAGGAAGAGATACCTCCCACTGAGGCTAGAGCATGGGGACCTTCAAGGGGTGACAGCATTCCCTGCCTAAAGGGGTTAATGGTGAGCAAAAAGATAGTCTTTCCTCCTGCCCCCCTTATATTCCCTAGGGAATGTCTTGATCCAGATGGCCACACAGGTGAGACTTCCTTTTACAGTCTACATGTTAAAAAACAACCCTCAGTGTACAGGGGTCTGGAGCACCTGTCTTTTTGGGGTATCCAGGAAAGGTGACTGCCAACTGATGAGTTGGTCAGTAGGTGACATGGAGAGAGAATTCTGTGCATTAGCTACTTGGAAAGAGGATTGGTTGGAAGTTTGGGTTCCAGAAAGGGAATGGAATGGAGAGGGGAACAGGGGAAGAAAAGATAGAAAAAAGGAGGGAGGCTTATGGCCAAAAGATGTTGGAGGGGTCAGGCCATGTGCAGAGTATGAGGGTAGGGGCTGGAGGAAAATCAGAAGGGTTTAAACCCAAGCCAAGAAAATCTGAGGCAGGATGACAGAGCAAGGGAAAAACTATGCTTTCCCCCTCCCCCAGCCTTTTCCCCATTCCCTCAATCCTAGATCCCTCTTTGGAAAATTGGCTTCAGCTTTCTAGGGGCTGAGCCTCTGTGGTACAGGTAGAAAAAGTTCATTTAGCCCACAGATGTGCACACTTAGGACACAGATGAGCACATCACTTGGAGGCTATTCAAGTAACTGCTAGATACCCTGTCCCCCCTTTGCACCACCCCTTCCCCTGTTCTCCTCTCTTTCTCTATGTACTCACACATACAAGTGAACAGTCACAAGAAACACATATGGTCCCACATTCCCACTCACACTTGCCCATACATACAGTGATTTACATATACACCATCACTTCTAACAGAATGCATATACAAATTGGACACATTTGCACATGCATAACTCATATTTGCATAGTTGTGTAACTATGCAAAAAACACAAGCACACTCAGAAATGTACATACACACAAATGGGCATATTTGTGACCGCATCTGCTTCCAAACTCATAAACACACACACAGAGGCATAGGCTAAAATATACACCTCCATTTGTACACACAACACATTCACTCACACATGCACATATATATTCATAGAGACATACTTAAAATGAGCACAGTGTCTGGCGTATAATAAGTACTTAATAAATGTTTTTCATTCCCCCCTCCCTGCCTCTCTGTCTATCTCACTCTGTCTTTCCGTTTCTATCTCTCCCTGAGGCCTTGGTAAGTAAGTACTCTGGCATCTGCCCCAACACTTATTGACTGCGTTGAGTAGGAGCTGCCCTGGATACTTGAGCTGAGAGCAGGTATCCAGATGAGAAACTACTCGGACTGCAGTGACGTAATTCCATACCGGCCACCTTGGATTCCCTCCCAGCCAGTAATGGGAACACTGGAGATCTGCTTCAGCTGGGGCAGAAGAGAGGCCATGGATGGGATGCCTCTAGTTTTCAGATAAGCAGGGGACAGCATGAGCCTGGTGCGGTGGCAAGGGAATTTCCCCACGGGCCTTGGAAAGGGTCAGCCAATGAGCTCTGTCCCACCCTGGTAATGGATTTCTGTGACAGAACCACTGAGACTCTGGCCCAAAGATGTCGTGCTCTTCCTAAGGGTCAAGGCACCTAGGACCTGTGCAGGTCACTATGCTTTCAGCAGGCCTGGAGGAAAGCCTGGTAAGTCAAGCTGAACATGACATCCCACCATCCTAAGTCCACACCCTCATTCCTGTACAGATTGGCTTTCTACTCTAATAGCTTCCTTGCTGGGGTTCCCCCTGCCTCTAAGCTACTCCCTTCCAATTTGTCCTGCACATACCAGTAGACTTACTGGTGAAGAATACTATAGCATCAAAAGTGAATGCCAGCACCACCTAAGACTAGGTCAGGGACAAGAGCTTTGGGTCACTGGTTGGAAGGATCACAGGATTGTGGATTTCGGATATCACAGAGCTAGAACAGGAAGGGACTTTAGAAGTCATCTGGTTTAACTCAACCCATTTTACAGAGAGGGAAGCTGAGGCCCATCGAAGTT